CTCATACCAACAAGATGCACCTTCTTTTTCGGAAGTCCGTCGTTAGAAACTTTACAATTAAGCGTACTTAATTTGGAGCAATTCTATAATGGGGGCTTAACTTGGAGAAATTCTATGATGGGTGACCCCCTAGGAAGTTTTCTTGGGGAGCGTGCGAGTGAGAATAAAGCATGCTGAAAAGACTCATGTTGGTACAGTGAGAACAGTATGTCGTCGATCTAACGGTCGGAACATCCCATTAAGTGGGACCCGGGTCGTTACAAATGGTATCAGAGCCCAGTTGCTAGCCGAAAATCGGGAACTAAGTGCTATGCGGGACAAAGTGTTACGCCAGGACGGGAGCCACCTCTTGAACTCGTAGGAGTCATCTCTAGAATCCCAACGCGTGTCAACGGATCCTCAGATGGATCAAGCGCGACGAGAACGTCGCAAGTCTAACGGGGGTGATTGTAATACCAAAATTAGGAAAGTTTATATTTGATAGGTATTACTCATACCAACAATGCGCGCTTTCTTTTCCAGAAGTCCATCGTTAGAAACTCTACAGTTAAGCGTGCTTGACTTGGAGCAATTCTATGAAGGGTGACCCACTTGGAAGTTTTCTTGGGGAGCGTGCGAGTTAGGAAAAAGCATGCTGAAAAGACCCATGTTGGTATAGTAGGGACAGTACGTCGTTGATCTAACAGTCGGAACTGCCCGTTAAGTAGGACCCGAATCGTTACAGCTGGTCTCCAACCAAATTTGGAGGTCAATTGTGAAAATCTACACTTTAATCACAAGTGAATCCCGTCAGTGAAAAAGATGAAGGCGATATCAACCCCAGAAGAGCCATACTCGAATAGGCCCAAAATGATAATGCTGGAGAAGAAGTGCCCTACCACAGATGTCCTGCAAAGAGGCCCATCGAAGTGGGAATTCGTATCTTAAGGGAAGTGGGGACCATTACCACCAACATGAGACGAATTGTAGATCAACATGTCCATCAAGTCTCGATACACGCTTTACAACAACGAATGCAATTTCAAGGGATGAAGATGCACCCCCCCGATGCAAATTTCCCATCTTATGGATATGCCTTCCCAAATCAACGACTTACCAATGGTGCTAGAGACTGAGAGAAAATGGAGGCGAACAACTCTCGCAAGAGCAGACCCTAGAGAGATGTACAATTAGACACCTCTTTCCACACAGCAGATGTTGGACTTATGGGCCAATTCACCGAAGGGCTCTCGAATTCTTACATGTATATGAACAAGGGCCTCAACTAACAAGGTCCACGAGTTTATTCAACAAGTTGGACACTCCACCTAGAAATAAGCCACCAAACGAAATGCTTACAAATAAGGCAACAAATGCCACTGTCTAGATATAAACATGAGAGAAGAGCCGCTAAAGCAGCAGTAAGAGAACATGCCAAATACTCCCTTTTCTTTCACTTCCTTATTTGTCGAGGTGGAGGCCACATGAGATGATGGAGCTGAATACAACAAAGGTGACCTGAGGTATGACGACGTCGAGGACCTTCCTTCACTGTAGAGATCCACAACAAGCCTCCCCCTAACTTTATCCTGCCAGAATCTTGCCATATACAAAAAAAAGAGCACCAAGAGGTTTAGAAAACCCAAATGAATTTAAGACAGACAATACCTACTATGAATTGCAAGGCTCTTCCACCTCACCTTAAGAAGAGGGGCGAGGAGATAGTACAAAAGGCTCCCTCGAGAGCATTAGTAGTTGGTTAGAGTTGAAGAGGCGATTCCTTAATGCACACATTTTCGAAATACCAAGGTCTGCCACCGGCCAATGCCTCCACAACATGCGACAAGGAGTTGGTGAATTGCTAAAAAGATACTTGTGTCGTTTTACAATCGAAATGTCATTTGTTTTTTGTATAATGAAATTCTTTGTTTTGAATAACTCAAAATAATGATCATGACATCAAAATGTATAGAAAACCCCTTCGGTGAAACTAAAAGGTTGAGAATTAAACATATTACTGTAGGAAAAAAATTCGAATCAGATCTGTTAATTCAACCTTCAATAGTTTTTTTCAGGACGAATAAAGGGCTGGCCGGTTAGACATAGGAGAAAAAAAAAGAGTTCACAATTTTTACCAGAGTAGGTAGCTCCAACAGGCAGTTCCCTCGGGCAAGAATTCGGAACAGCCACATATTACCCTTTCCACAAGTGCCACTCGTACAGTACAATTCAATTTCCAGTGGAAAAATCATGGCTCTCTGCTTTTTTCTGTTCAGTCAATGCCACCCTGCGCCGGACTTCAAAAATCCCCCATCTCTTTAACTTTTGGAAAAAGTTCCCCTGTGACCCATCTCGATTTCAGGTGTTTTTTTAGGTTTTTTTTTTTTTATCTGCAATTTCATGTCAATTAATTAAATTCTTGGTCCGTGTTCTTGGGCTGTGTGAGTAAGAATCGGAAGTATGATAGTGTATGATGGGTACTGGGTAGTTGAGCTTGGGGGGTGAATGTTTCTTGAAACGACTTAACTACATTATTGCTTTGGTGGGTTCTTGATTCATAATTTAGTTAATTTTCCTGTATTCAGATCTTCCAAGGTTGTTAATTTTGTTTATCCGCAAATTTGTTTTGATGATTTGTTTAACCTGACGTCCTGCAGTGCTTGAGCTAGGTTTTCTTCTGTATTTAGAGTTTATTAATAATACTACCCACTTGCATATAAATAATAATGATATCATTTTCCCTGACAACCCGTCTGGATAAAAACGAAGACAAAAGAAAGTTGTGAACAAGCTAACAATAGGTAAAAAGGGTTTGTGGTTGGATTGGCGGCAAGTGCTGTATCTGTGAATACTAATCAATCCTTGTTCTTTCGGTTTAAATAGTTTTAAGGGACAATGCAGAGAGTTAAGAAAGTCACTGGAGAGACATTGAGGCTACGTTGGTGCATTGATTAGACCGTAAAGAATTTAGTATAAAATTATTTAGAAAAGTAAAAGAACTTAAAATCTTGATGATTATACTGTCTAGTCTTGTCGTGAGTTAATGTATATGTAAGTTCATCACTGGCTTTGACAACTGATTTGGTGTGGCGTTCAGTAATTGTTATCAATGCTATAAGATACACTTGACCTCGTGCTATGTGTTTTGAAAAGTAACAAAATATAGAGTTCTAGCTTATTTTGAGCTTCATTTCTTTGTAATTGTAAAAATCTCCAGTGTTCTGCATAAGCATAAACAGAAACTGCTGCATTGTCAGTGCATTTGCTATTATAAACTATTTTGACGAGCAAAAAAGACATTTTTTCTTCCGTTCAGGTTTAAGAATGAAGGTAGACTGCAAGTAAGACCGAGGCTACATCCTTTATTCGCTTCAGAGGGATCAGATGAAACTATACGAGCTGATGCTGCTCAAGGTCTTCCCTTCCTTACCATTTTGGCTGGTTTTTTAGTCTTTGCATTTACATGTTGGATCGTTGGATCCGTAGTGATTTGGATTATCAGCTTAATTGTCCATCCACCTCCTTTAAAATGAGTTTGAGTTCTTTGTATTTGTCACTCTTAGCCAACAGATTGTGATCAGCGATAGAGACGAACTTTTCTGTTATCGTTGTTAATCTAATTTTCTTACTTGATATCAGTGTTAATCGTTGCTTTACTTTTGCATACAAGAAAAAATATTATAACATGGACCAGAAACACCGCCTAGGAGATCCTCACTTTCTGTTGGTCCCGGATCCTTCTATAATGGCTACATTTTTACAGGCAAAGTTAATTTTACGAAAATTTATTATTAAGCCAAAAGAAAAACTATAAGCTCTTTGAAGTATACATCCCAGTTACGCTCTTAACAAGAATTCTTCTATGAATTGCCAAAATGCATATCCTATTGCCGTTTGGTGGCTTTAAAGGAAATGCATTTATTGGCGTTTGCAAATAAATTAGAATATTCATAAATAGAGAAACTATTCAGAATCTTCCCCCTTCGCTTCATGGTTGTCTTCTCCAACTGTTGCTGGCAATTACGCCTTCATCAGAAGTGGCAGATTGGCAGTAATAACCGGCATCCATACATCACCTGAACTACTTAAGAGGCCGGCATCCATACATCACCTGAACTACTTAAGAGTGACCCGACTGCTGGTCTCTGCAGCCATTGCTGAAGCTATCATCTCATCTACATTGTCCAACTTGATGATAATTTACAATGCTGCAAACATGTAAAACTTTCAGGTGCAAAACGAGAGCATGCTAAGCCTGTTTTGTAAGGAGGATTAGACATCGAGGAACTAAGTTAAAAAGCAAGTTAAAATTTTGTCCTTAGTTCCATCTTATGTAATAATATGTGCCAAACATGCCTAGTCTTGAAAGAAATAATTTGGTTCGATGGATGGACTAGTACTCAAAAGTATTAATAAAGGAGAAAAAGCTAAAATCTTCCCTATTATATTGTTCAATTTTGTCTAGTATTTCACAACAAACGATCCTTAAAAGAATCAAAAAATGACTGAATTGAGCCTTGGATTACCTCATTGAGGTTTCTAGCAGATTTAGAAGGAACTTTTGTCACCTCCAATCCCATGGCTTCAATCTTGGCGCGCAACTCCACTTCAAATCTTCAATCTTGGTTAATGATTCCACCTAAAAGAATTTGTCAACAGAGAAGAAAATATATCTGTGAAACGGAAGTAAAGAGAAAAAAGAATTGAGACTCGAGGAAGAAAAAAATACTTGGAAGTTTTATTGGTTTCAAGAATCTACTACCTGACCATGGCAAAATAAATAATTTGGGTGACTTCAAGGAAATCTCTAACTGTATTGGCTATTGATTTGGAAACATGGCTACGGCACAATATTAATCCCCCGCTTGAGCCCCATTTTTTAGGATAATGAATTTTAGAATAGTGATTTTTTGGAAAATGTGTGGTTAAAAAATAAGGAACTTTTTTTGATTTAACTGTAAAATTATTTTATGAGAGAATGTGTAATTGAAAACGAGTTTTTGAAAAAATTGAAGCCAAACATAGGCTAAAGATCTAGCATCAAAATCAGAGAGGTGAAAAGGCAACTCACCGGATAAGATTAGCATGAAAAGCCTCCGGAGGTGTAATTTGCTTTACAGGGTCAGTTGCCTGCAGGTGTAATTTCGATAAAAATGCAGTATCCTACGTTGGGTCCAACTCGAAGAGGTCAATTTGGCAATCGTATTTCTTCTGGTGGTCTAACAAATGAGCCTGCTGAAGCAGCTTCATATGATACATTAATTGGAACGAAATTGAGGACCGGATGGCCTGATGACAACAACTTCTATGAAGCTATTATAACTAGTTACAAGCCAGATGAGGTTTAGCTGATTTTTGTAGCTTGTATCTTTACTTTCTGCTGGTGCAGTGCTCAAATTGTTTTGTTATCTCTGTCAGGGTCTATATGCTTTGGTTTATGATATAGGTACTGCNATATATATATATATATATATATGAGAACAAAACTGTGATATCATCTAAGTGATGGATGAGATATTTAGGTCTATGCAAAACACGTTCCATCAACTTAGGTGGTTGTACATGTTTGGCATAGACCTAAATAAGCTCCCTTTCATAAAAGTGATGGGATCTTGGTTGACCATATCGGTAGAGGGTGGGGCAGACCAAACAATGTTTTTTCTTTCTTTCTTTCTTGAGTTTAAGTATTCAAATGAAAGTGCAACCCATCGGTCTCTATCCACAGGTTATTTTTACTAAAAAGACTGTTATAAAAAATGTGTTTCTTGAAGTATATTATTTGATGAACTCCCAAAAGAAGAGATGGTAGAGTGGCACAGTAAGACTTTCTTCATTGGAATTAGAGAATAGCTCATGCCTCATGAACATGACCATATAAAGGTATGAGTTGCCTAACAGTTGCAGAGTAAAAGAACCTCTACAATAATTTTTACAGCATATAGTGAGTAATTCAAAATCATGTGAAGTCAAAGTAAACAGGTAAGCCAAGATTACTATTTGAGTCCTATTATTAGATTATGATAATCCATAAAATCTGATTTTGAATTCAGCAATAATGTGAATGATTCTAAGAATGAAGAGTTGTATTAATTTTACTATGGTATTGTTACTTGACGTTCTTTGCTCTCAGGTCTTGATTTTCCATAATTGTTAATATAAATCCCTGGTTATTGTTCTTGTCAACCCCATATGCTATATTTTGCTCCTATTTCAGTGAGATCATCAGGAAAAGTCACTCAAAAGTGTTCTTTTCGTTCATGTATTGATATTCCCCTTCTCCTTTCTCTGCTTTTATTACCCCAACTCGGTCATTGTAATCCACACTACTTAATGTGGCTCCCTTTGGACCAATTTACTTAGCCATATTAATGAAGGTACGATGGGACATGGTTTAGTAAAATGAACTGAACTTTTAGAATCCAGTTGGATAACTGACCCTTCAATAGCTCATTTGAGGTTAGTTCTTAAGATAATCAAGTAAAGCTTATAGAACTTTTGAATATCTTAAAATCATCTTGAGCTTGGCTTGATAAGCTATTATTATAATGTTATTTTAAGAAAAAGCTAAACTGGTAAAGCTTTGCTTGTGATGATCAATTAAACCTCCTTCAACAGTGGCTTAAGGTATAAGGAAACTAATCATGAATATGATTTTATAGCTTGAAAACCTACTTTTTGGCCTGGATGTTCTATTAAGTTATGATATACTAATTATATAATCATTCAAATGGATAGATCCACATCTTCTATGTCATGCGGCAGTTTTTCCTCCATGATACTTTTGAGTTCAAGTGTCAAGATTACCTCTTAGTACCTTCACTATTATATCTTAAGCCGGAACTCAAAAGGTAGTATGACAATTTTATGTTGGTGATGTGTTGGTGGATCATCGTGTATTCTGTACTGTGCATGAAATGATGGATGGACTAGATGGTGCCACCTTTTATCGAGCCTTTAGTTGAAGCGTTACTGGAGGCAATTTGAATGTGCAAAAGATTTTATCTTTACGGTGAAGGAGATTTTATATTTTTTTTAGGTGTATTTGTCATCAAAGGAAAATAAACCTTTATCTCCACCAGAGTAATTAACTGTGCAGCCCTGCATTTGACTGATAATTGACTGTAAAATGGCTCAAGTAGCCAATTGATCCATGTTCTCATTTTGGAATTCCTAGATGCATATTCATGATGGAGAGCAAAATGAACCTCATAAGCATTATTGGAAGATTGTTAAAACTTAAAATGGTTCCCAGAAGACTTGGCATAATTTGGAACTTGTGTTTTCCATTGCGAATGTGCTTCTGAATGAGCTAAAATTAAATGCCGTAGGAAAAGCAAGGAGAAAGAAATATCTGTACAGAGAAGGAAATTAAAGTTAGTACTGAGCTGAGTGCTAGGTTTCAGTAACTCCATTCATCTTAAATAGGATGCCTGCATTGCTGATTGAGATGTGCCATTATTGTGTGTACTTCCCTATATAAACTCTCCAACCTTTTGTTGCCGGGCTGCCATTGTTAAAATATTCCCTCTGTTGAGTTTCTCCACATTAATATGTTAATAGAGTCACGTGTCATTTGATATCACAACCAAAGGACAATACTTAAGAGTATAAAATACAGAACTTTCAAAAGCTTACTTAAATAGGCTGCATGCCAAGTCAAACATGACATTGGATTTCGTTTGGAGTGAGAATAATTTAGGCTTCCTGAATTTGAGGACATTATATTGGCCATGACAAAAGGTGACCTAAAATATGCATAGGTTAATCTGATGTGGATGACGGTGGTATTCAGTAGTAAACCCTAAATTAGCTCACATTGCAGTAGTTCTTAGTTTTATCCCTATACTTCTGTGTGAAAATGCATGGGGCCTGTAAATTACCTTTCTTGCCACAAAGTAGAGGCCCCTAAAAATTTATACAAGGAAAACGTGTTCGCCACTTCTGCTGAAAGTGAGTACATAATTCACACCAGAAGAAAGTTAATATTAAGTTTACACCTTAAGGTTCACCTTCGAGTAATGGGAAGAAAGAGATCATGTCTTCATCTGATTAATTTTCTTACCCTCTGCAGATTTCTCCTGAGGATATCCAATTGGTAGGAGAAGACAAGGGAAATTCACGGCATATTGGATATGGTGGAATAGGCCATGGTTTGAATCGACCTCTGGGACGTGACAGCACTCCAGGTTCAGGAAGAGTCAGGGGTTCAACAAAGGTCAGTATAGGAAGGAGTTTCCACCATCCCAGAATGGCATTGGTAAGAAGGGATCCGATGATATTCTTTGATTTCTTAACACCGACATTCTAATCAAGGAGGTAAGCAGCAATGATTTGACATGTATCATCTACTCGGATGTAATTAACAGTGGACATTGGCAGGTGGAGAGGGTTTTTGGGGCTAGTATACCTGACCCAGTGGAAATAGAGCAGGCAAAGGAATTTCTGAAGGTTAGAAAGGCACAATTTTGAATTTTGAACATACTATTTTCTGTATCTAGAATTTTGAACATACTATTTTCAAAATTATATAATATAATTCTGAGTTGTTTACTGTAATGTTTGGTATTAGTCTTGAATATCAACTCTGCCTACTTATTGGGGTCTGCCATTATTTCATTTGGTAAAATAGGAGCATGAACAAGTGCTAGCTGATACCCTTGAGAGGCTTGCAGTTGTATCTCAGGGTGAAAGTGGTACGATTTTGCATGACATTTGTGCCTGGTATTGTTCATTAGCCATATTATTGTTTTTAAGATTGCCCACCAGGAAGCTCCTCTTGAAAGCATCTCCAAATCGTTGCAGTTGTGCCCACCAGAACATATTAGCACTCATTGTATTACTCTACAATTCAGACATTGAGTTTCAATTGTTTGGAATCAGTCCTCTACATAATGCAGTTTGATGGACATAATGTTGGGGAGTAAATAGCAGAGCTTTTAAAATCATAGGGGGTTGCAGGGATCAAAAATCAAAGCATGGAAAACTATGGCTAGTGAAAATCTATTTCCTTTAAGCAATTCGGAAATCTTCCTCCTGGCGAATCATAATGTGTTTCTTGTTTTGGCAAGTAATGAATGGGGAAAATGATTTTTCGTTTTTGGCTCCAAAACATATTTTAAACAGTAATATGTGGACGAGATAAAAAGTGGCATACATTCAATCCATATCGCTAAGAGAATGTTCAGCCTAGTGTTTCTAGGTGTTTATAAACACACCTTGGTT